GGAGGAGGAGGAGGAGGAGGAGGAGGAGGAGAAGAAGAAGAAGAAGAAGAAGAAGAAGAAGAAGAAGAAGAAGAAGAAGAAGAAGAAGAAGAAGAAAGCAAAGAAAAAAAAAATAGAAAGAAAAAGAAAAAGAAAAAGCCCCAGCCTAGGTATGAGTGACAGCAACCAGTAGGTTTGCTGCCTGAATGAATAGAAGGGAAATGAAGAAGGAAAGCTTGTTTCTGTTTCTTCAGAGGTGTTCCAGAGAACCACGCCTGCTCCCGGAGCACCGGGAAGGTAGCCGCGCGGGCGCCCCTGAACCCCTATAACCCCCACACACACTCTCAGACCTCCTGACTGTGCCAGTCTTTGGATCCACTCTGCAGAGGCAGAGGTGGTCATCAAGGGTATTTTTCTGAGTTCCCAACTTTGAACATCTTTAAAGAAAGGGCATGGGAAACCTGTAATAGAACATTGTGGAGTTCAACCATTCAGAAGGTGGGGAACTAAATCTGGGCCTTGCAGCCCGAGGTCAGTCAGCGTCATGGGGTTCAGCAATCAGCTAACTGAGATCAGGGGTCTTGCATCCTCGCTCTGTCTGAGCCATTAAATGGTAAATACACTATATTGAAATTTTGTTCACTGCAGACATGTCCTGGACTGCTTCTTGATTTCAATTTAATTCAAATGATTTAAGGGTGATAGACTAGTGACTACCACAGGTGGTCAGTGTCCAAGTTGTGCTTGATCTTAATGTGTCGCTGATTGTATCAGTTGGGGTAAAGCATTGCCGTTGATTTGATGAGCTGTTTTCTCTGATGTTATGAAGATGAGAATGTCTGTGGGTCGTTAAAGACACAGAAGCTAGGGCACAACTATATCAGGAAGATTTGGGTGATAATCCAGAGATTAAACCAAGGACAGTCCGACAACAAAAATTAAAATGAGAAAACACTTAAGCAAGGCACAAGGACAGACTTCCAGTTTACCAATGGCAAACAGTAGGGCAAATGAGGATGAAAAGGCCGATAGTGAACCACCAGGGCACCCTGAACGCAAAGCACAGGAAGTAACAAAACAGATCAATCAGGCTTCTAGAAAAATTCAAAACAGAAATAATTTCCCAGATAACCATAGAGATAGTGAGCAAAATGGAAGTTGTGATTTGAGACTCTAGAGCAGAAACTGACAAAATAGATGAGCTCAGCAC